AATGGACTTATCTTGGATGCATCGCATTAGCAATCTCGGGGTAAGGTTTCATCCATGTCTCAGTGATGCATCGACGTTCATTGTTGACGACTTATTCAGTCTCCTGGTCGCCATGTTCCAGATACCCAGCAGTGGTAACGATCCCATAGTTCACACGCTCGCACTTATGTCGGTGGTCTGCCTGTGTGCCGGTGCTGGCTACGCAGCCACATTGGTGATGACGTTTGGGAGACTCGAAACTGTAGCCGGAAGACGTGTCTGGATACGCGTGTGTTCAAATTCCATTGGTTGCTTCTTAAGCTTACATCGAGCCTATCCCCTTCAGCAAGCGATGCGTGCGATGCCCCAGAATTCCTTCTGGAACCCGTGGATTATGTTGGCCATGCCCCTTGCGTGGATCGGCTGGTATGCCCCCCGTGCTGTCTCCGGGGTTGTGTATGAAGATTAATTGACATGCAGGGGTGTATTTTACGGTGTCGTCCTCATCGGAGCTTTTATTTGGCGCGATGGGGCGACCAATGAGCCAGATGAAAAATCCCGACTGTTGCCACACCAAGCATATGGCCCCAAAGTGGTGGAGATGTTGATATATGTTGTCAGCTTAGGATACTTTGGGTTGATGGTGAGGACGGTGAGAGGGATTGGTTTTGCTCGTACAATCTAGGCTGTTCAACTAGTGGCCTTTCTCGAGCCTCTGCTAGAGGCGCCAAAACATGTTTTATATATATATATGAGGCATTTCCTTTCCCTTTGGTCCCCGCAATGGGTGCACTCGAGGTGGCATTCAAAAACCCAAGAGGCTCGTTTAATTTGATTCGTTACTACCAGTGACCCATCTGAAACATGCTCAACGACTATAGATCCAACTCTTGAAGCATACACAGTCTCCCAGATACACCGAAAATCCGACTCGAATCATGCTATGTGTCTTGCCAACAGCGTTGACCGAGGCCTCAATGTCCTCAGTTATTGTCTTAGCATTCCTCACTTTGGATCTTCTTGTGCAGGTGAGCTCTGGGATGATATCTGCGACGGCTTGCTATTGATAAAATCGCTGCTGGATTTAAACTAAAACAATGTGATCTCTTCCGGCCCAATAGCCCGATGTTTATCTCGAATTCTCGATGTGGTCGATTGGATGTAGGCTAGGCGCGGGATTCAATCGAATCGCTCTGAAAACACCGTGAACATGGTCCAAACAAGTACAACAATCTTCGCGGGTGGAGGAGTTTCTACAATCTCTGGTGTGTTGAAGCCGATTTACCTCCTGTGACGCGACCAAGCAGATGTCCTCGGGTGTACCCCACTTCGGCGGAGGTTTTTGACACACAGTCTCGAACTGCCCGGCCCTGTGCGGCGTTCTTTCATTTCGGGAACATGAGTGTGAAACTGCATGTTTATTCCCGCGTGCAACAAATGTAGATATTTTTAATTCCCGCGTCATTTAACGATAAAAGACCTTAAATCCGCACTACTTAAACTAGGGAGCTTACATTGCGGGAATTAACGAATCGCGCAAACGCAATCACAGTTGCGCAAGCGCCGAATCATGATCGCGCAAACGCGCAACCACGGTTGCGTATTGAACGCGCAAACAAAAAAATAGCGCAAAGTCCCGCAGATAAAATCACGCAAATTCTGCCAACCCAACTCATAAAGCAGCTCAATAAAAATGAAAAAAATATAGTTGAATTCATGTAGTGGTCAAGCTACTAGTAGAGTCGAAATTACTTCAGTTCAAGAAGGTCCAGTGGTCTGTTAGACATTGGTCAATAGTAAAAGTCGTCAAAAAGCTATTGGGAAGAGTAGCTAGCTGTAGAAGTTGGATAGCACGAAACAGATAATAGATTTGGCATGTCAGCCCCAGGGATTATATGCTGGCTTCGGGACATGGAAGCTAAGTTCGGAGGCGGAGGCTTCGAGATGTGCTGGGACTGGGGAATCCATAGCAGATTGTGTCGAAGCCAGGTCGAAGCCATGATGAGGGGGTCTGTGACGACTGCCTTCGTTTAACTATTGATTGGATTGATGATTGCAAGATCTCGAGCAGGAGGAGGTACGTATTTTCATCAAGCAGGGAGTTGAGCTTTGATGACCTATCAAACTGATTAGCCCGTGCGGGCTGGGCTGAGGAGCAGAGTGACGTAGTAAGGTCTTTGTTTTACTGAAATAGACCTCCTTTCTTGATCAATGGCCACTTTTCGTCGTAATTAGTCCAGTCTCCGAAAGTATTAAACCCTTGCTCCTGAATTTCGCCCGCTCGAAAATTAAGACACTAGAAAGAAGTATGCCCGTTTGCATGTTTGTTTTTTTTTGCGCTGGTACTTTGCGCGATTCTTTATCTCCGACTTTGCGCTATTTTTCATTTGCGCAACTGTGAATTGCGCAACTGTGATTGCGTTTGCGCCATTCACCAATTCCCACAATGTAAGCTTCCTAGTTTAAGTAGTGCGGATTTGAGGTCTTTTATTGTTGAATGACGCGGGAAGTAAATATATATACATTTGTTGCGCGCGGGAATAAATGTGCACTTTCACACTCATACGGGACGGAAGCCCACACACAGCTCTTTACTTGATCGTTCCATCCGTATTTTAATTTGGAATGGAACGATCTAGGTAGGTAGGTAAGTAGGTGTATCGGAATCAATCAAAAAGTATTCATTATCCACACTACCCATTTATTGAGACCACAACGGGGAAATGACAGCGTCACCGTATCGTGCACGCGAGAAGCAACTAGAACAGCCACTGATATAGTGAGTTGAAACTACATAAGACAGTCAATACACCCCGCCCGACATACGCTGCCAGCCCACCCCGCCCGCGCTTAAAACAGACGTACGCCACCACCCCCCAGACGGTGTCGCCCAGCCCGACATACGCCGCCCCGTCGCAGCGCATTCAGCACCAGCCCACCTCATGGTACACCACCACCCTCATCGAAGGCAGCACGCGTCGCCACCCCCCCCCGGCGCGCGCCGCGCCATCGACGGAGGGGCGGCGGAGCACAGTCGCCGCATCCCGCTCGACATACGCCGCCTCGTCCGCCGCCACGTCACAGCCAGTCCACCTCCTGCGCACTACGGACCGACGCGCTGCCCCACCCCTTCGAAGACAGTACGCGTCGCCACCCCCCGGTCGTCGATACGAGGGGGGAGCGGAGCACCGTCGCCGCGCTACGCAGGAGCACGCGCACGAATAGCGCGCCAACTCCGCAAGCAAGACACGTCGGTTCCGAGTCGACATGACCAGCGGCAGAAGCCGCAGGAGCACGAACAGCGCGCCGACTCCGCGCCGAGCCCGCGGACAACTCCTTAGTCGAGCCAGCGGGCGACACGACGCGGTGCGCTCGCCACGATCGACCCAGCACGACCGGCACGACGCGCATGCCTGGCACGACCAGCATAGGCGCAACAGCAATAGATTGGCCCCCCGCGGCCACCAGCGCAGGCATACGCACTCCCCGCCACCACCAGCGGCCGCGGGGGCTAGTCCGCACACCATTGTGCGCGCAGGCACACGTAGCACCCTGCACCTCCCCTCATCTGCGGCTACGCACCCACCGCCTCGTAGGGGCCCGTCCGCGCGCGAGAGCACGGACGCCAGACGCCAGAAGACGATGATGGCGATGCATGGCACGACAACGCGGGCGACGCGCGATACGTACGTACATAGGTATGCGCCTGCGCAGAACAGTCCTAGAGGAGATGCCTCATGCCGCATTGCTCGTACCCCTCGCCCGCACAAAGACAAAAAATAAAAAATAAAAAATAAAAATAAAAATAAGAAGGGGCAGAATGGTGGAGCGAGACGAGACGAGACGAATATGGGTGTAGAGGCCTCTCGCGCACCGAGTCTCCGCGCACGGTCTCCAAGCATGCAGCCATAAAGCGCTCCCGAAGCGGAAGCCCCTCGAACGACGACGTGGCCCGGTCGCACAATAGGCGCTGCCCGCCAACCGCCCAGCAAAGCGCCTACTGTCCACCGGGTATGGCGAAAAACAAGAACAAGGAAGGATACGACGGATGGATAGCATGAAAGGAGGAATAGCAGGGAGGGAAGGGAGGGAATATAACAGTCGGCACACGACACTTATCACTGAGGAGGTTGACCCAGGTTGCGACGCCTATGCGCTCGCCCGAGTCCTCTGTCTGCTTCATCATCTTGAGCGTCTCGTCGAGCAGCGTCTCGCCCGTCTGCCGCGTAGACAGCACAGTGCATGAGCGTGAGCATCGGCACGCTGCCGCCCAAAGCGGCGCTCTCCTGCGAGCTCAGAAGCAGGTCGCGCGGGTCGTAGGCGACGCGCGATCCATTGGCGAAGGCGCCGGGCAGCCTGTCAGACCCAAAGACTCGAGCTGCGCCTCGGGCGATTTTTCTGGGGAGGTGGCAGAGGCGGGCGGGGATGAGGGTGCGGTGTCGTCGTCGTCGTGTGTTGTTGTTGTCGGGGCATTGGCGCGTCGGCGGGAGAGCCCGGAGGAGGCCATGGTGGAAAACGAGACAGATCTGGGTGTGGCGGTGTTCGGGGGAAACCGGGAGGCGGTGCGGTCAAAGCGGGTGAATTATACTACAAAGTGGGCGTGATAACTCAAGGGGCGTGGGCGGGATTAAATTCGCGTAGTGGGAGGGACGTAGCAGCTTGTTCAGAAATTGTGGGGAAAAAAAGGAGGGATGAAACTACCCATTCATGCACCGGCGGGGAGTCGAACCCCGGTCTGCCTGAAACTGCCCAAGGAAATATCGAAGGGCAGCGTGCACCATGCACCACCGATGCTTATATCTATCCTTTTAAAACCTGATCTATACAGCTCTAAATCACCCAATGGCCAATGCCATTACAGTAGGTCAATTTGTGGAAGTTGAATCAACATCGGTCTGCGGGGTGCCCGATGTCTTCAACCACATGAATCTGTCGATATATATAATCCGAGAGAAGCTAAACAAATGTGCTGAGGGCTAGGCGCAAAAACAGCTGGAAAAAAGTATATTAGAACCCGCGAATGCACCGGCGGGGAATCGAACCCCAGTCTGCCTGAAATGATATTCGAGTCGTAATCACATTGAAAGGCAGCGTACACCATGCACCACCGGTGCTCATTCTCCTCCCTTCTTGACTCTGATTTATACAGCTCCAAGGCACACCGTGGACCATTGTGAATTCACACAATGGCCAGTACCGTTTTTACAGTCGGTTGATTTCGTCAAGTTGATTCCCTCCTCCCAAAAATTTGTCGACATAATATCTTAGTACTTCCCATCATTGATGCAATATCTAGGTCCCCGAGGCAAAACAAAAATATACTACAAGGTATGAAAAAAGCAAGGATTCTGGATGGAGCAATCCCATGCACCAGTGGGGAATCGAACCCCGGTCTGCCTGAAACTCCTACAGATACGGCTTCGAAACCTAGGGGCAACGTGCACCATGCACCACCGGTGCTTATTCTCATCCTTCTTCACCAAGATTTATACAGCTCTAAATCACCCAATGGCCACAGTAATTCAACTTCAATTTCTTACAGTCTTGGAATCCACATCAATCTTGGCAGTGCCCGATTTCTTCAACCACATCAATCCATGAATAATCTGTCGATACGTACCTGGGGCGCAGAGAAATGAGAAAAATATTTTGAGGAAGCGCGAGAACAGTCATAGGTAAAAAAAAAAGGACCAAGCCGCGCCGCATGCACCGGCAGGGAATCGAACCCCGGTCTGCCTGAAACGTTTCTCACCATGGGAACACTATTTAATAGCATCGTGCACCATGCACTACCGGTGCTTATATCCGTCCTTCTTAACTCTCTTTTATACAGCTCTAAATCACCCAATGGTCAATAGGTCAATTTCCCAAAGTCGAATCAATATCAATGCGGCCCCCCAATATGCTCTCGATGAACCATATACTTTCCAGTATTTAATCGATATAATATCTAGCTCCTCGGGACCAGACAAACTTATTCTGAGGAAGCTCAAAAACAGTCATACGTAAAAAAAGTACCAAAGTCATGCCAGCATGCACCGGTGGGGAATCGAACCCCGATCTGCCTGAAACGCCAGTCTTCAATGGCAGCGTGCACCATGCACCACCGGTGCTTATATCCATCTTTCTTGGCTCTCTTTTATACATCTCTAAATCACAAAATGGCCAACAGTAACATAGACTCGAACCAGTATCTTTTGTGGCCAGCGAGAAATTGATGACAGTCGATCAATTCGCAAGCTAAAAAGAGACTGGAGCTTTTTAACTGGCGGGTAGTACGGTCGGGAGTTGCCGGCGTACAGTTGTTTTGACTTCGTGAAATGAAAATTCAAACTCTCAGAAACAAAATTCTGAAGAGACAGTTCTGTGTGAAATTGTTTTACCTACTCATTCCACTTGTTTTCAAGACAACAACCGAAGAATTGAGGGCGACGCAACGAAAATTAAGACGGCTCGTCCATGTCTATTATTATCTATGAGGGCATGTGATGGATCACCGTCTGATGCAATAGCACCCGAAAGATGCCAAGCTCTACAATTATTTCTGCTCGTCTTTATTTTCCTTGGAGTTCCCTCAATCCTCGGAATGTCCTCATGAAAACTAGTGGATTGAGCCGGTGGAGAAATTAGGCATAAAACTGTCTCTTTAGAATTCCGCCTTTGATGGTTTGAATTTTCGATTCGCGAAATTTTTCTAAGTCAAAACAACTGTACGCCGGCAACTCCCGACCATACTACCCGCCGGTTAAAAAGCTCCAGTCGCTTCGCCATCACCCTTGATCGACTGTCATCAAGATTGGTGCTGGCGTCCTACTGGGTTCGAGTCTAAGAGTTACTCCGGGAGTGGATTTGGAGCTGGAGTTGATCTCGGCGGTAGAATTGATGTAGTTACGTATATAGCCACGGCAGTGCTCCCACGCTTTTTCTGCCCGCTCTCCACGTCGCGTCGCGTCCCCAGCGCATCCCTTGCTCTCAAAATGCCTGACGCAAACTGGGTTAGCCATCCAGAGGATATTACCCACCTCCTCAACTTCTTTTACAACCAACGGAGCCGTATTGGCGAAGGTGGAAATTGGGACAAAACAGTCTACAATGAGGCCGCTGCTCATATGGCTGAGAACCACCCGCCCAAAAAGGGGGGACCCAAGACGGCTGATTCAATTATGACGAAGTGGAAAGCAGTGCGTCTGTGCGCTACTGCTTCTCGGTATATTTCTGACAGCTTTCCATCGCAGCTCCGGAAACTCCACGAGCACATTCTGCTGGCGAAGCAGAAGCAATACCCAGGAGCATCCGGCTGGACCTACACAGACGAGTGTGGGTTTAACGTCACCGATGACGACCAGGATGCATGGAAGAACTTCATCACAGCTCACCCGCACTTCAAGCCGTTTGCGACGAGCGGATGGATCCACTTCCAAAAGCTCGATGATATCCTCCCTTCCCGTGCACGCGGGCGCTATGTCTTCAACGCTAGAGGTAGCCAGCCCGCTTTCGGACTCTCTCAGCTGTCTCAGGACAAGGAGGGCGATGGGGCACAGACACAGGCCGACGAGGGCAATGCGACACAGACACAGGCCGCTAATTTGTCTCAGCCAATTTCCGACTGGTCTCAGACCGACTTCGGCGATGATTCCCAGCCCCCTGCCACTGGCGAAGACTCGCCTGGATCCCAGCCCGCCTCAGCTCGGTCGGGACCTTCCCAGGCAATCACCATTCGTGTTCCAGCCACTCCAGTAGCCCCGACAAAGTGCCCGGTTTCCGATGACGCGGAGGTGCCTTGGAGCAACAAAAGAACCCGCGCGACAGGTCCTGAGTCGATCATGGCTCTCGGGCGCTCCGTCGAGGGCATCGGGAAGGTGATCGAAACGGTCTTCACCCCCAAGGTATCGTCTGCCATGTCTCCCACGAAGAAAATCGCAGCAGCTCGTCAAAAGGCCCTGGAGGATTATGAGGCTGGATACATCGAGGGCAGCGAGCGCACCCGCCTCAACATCTTGTTCGGGCGGGATATTTCAGCAGCAGATGCATACATCGCAGACACTGACGCTTTCCTTCGCGCAGAGACTGGGCGTGAGCTGCTGAATCCCACTTCGATGTTTTAATTACAACTTTAGCTACAATTAGTCTAGGTCTGCCGATTGAATATCATCGTAGTGGTTGGTGTCCACATCCATCCTTTCCACAAGATACTGTTGGTAGTTGTTCCACATAGCCTGCGCAATACGATCGCGGATTCCCTCTGCCTTGCGCTTCTCTGCAGGCGACACTCGTGAAGCTGTTGCGAGAGAGCCAAAATCAATCTCCTCGTCTCGACGTGTACCGTGCACCGCATCCTGGGCCTGCTCATCGATGATCCAGCGGTCAAGATCTGTCTCGTCATGCTCCAAAATAAAATTATGCAGCGCAACGAGAGCCGAAGGAATCTTGGCTTGAACCTCCATGTTGTAGTGTGGTGGTCTGGTCAGAATGGTCCACCGGTGCTTGATGACGCCAAAGATTCGCTCAACAACATTACGGGCTGAAGAATGGCGGAGATTGTATAGCTCTTTGAAGTTAGCGGGCCTGCAGTATATGAGAAAGGTTCAATAATAGAGAAAAGATAAATTACCGCAGGTGTGCACGTGCCCATTCAGCGAGATGATAGCGAGTTTGCTGGTAAGGAACCAGGAGGGCTTCACATATTCCGAATCCTGCATCGGCCAAGTAGCATTTCCCTGGGGGAATTGGGAAATCCCGCAGCCGAGCAGTTGAATACATCGATGCATCTGCTGCACAACCATCCCATCCGCTTGTAAAAAAGAGGAAGCGCATGTCGAATGACACCACCGCGAGGCAGTTTTGAGTCACACCACCTTTGCGGTTCCGCGCTGTGTGGAGATCGGCCGCAGAGGGAGAGCAATTAATGTGGGTACCATCGATTGCACCCAAGACGTTGCGAAAATATGGCCACCACTTTGGGTTATGCCGAATAGCAGGTGGGGGAGGAGCGTCGGCTTCCGGGAGGCGTACATATTTGGTATAAAACTCCTCCCCAGATAAAATGTCAAGGATCTTTCGAAAATGACTATGATTTACTTGATTGTGAGTATGATATAGGATATAAAATATGGAACTCACTCCGATATGGTACTGTGCGAGTGCTGGAACCGTTCTGCAACATGATCTATGGCAATTCCAGTGACACAAGTGTACAAGAAGATCGCCACAGACTCGTCAAGACTGAGTCGGGAATTCTGGGATTCCATGTGGCCCAGGAGGCGAAGTTGCAGAACTAGGGCCAGGAACACATGTCGGCGCATCCCAAGAGCAATATAAATGCGTTTTTCATGGCCATTGAGGAGCTCAGCCAGCCACCCACGCCCAGAAAGCACCGAATCGTGTAAATCTGTCTTGACGTACTGGGGATAAATATAGAGCCCCACACCAAGTATAATATACTGTAGGAGAGCAACTATGAGCAAGACAATACATTTCGCAGTATCCTGGGGGCTTAGATCTGGCCAGGGCATTGTGAAAGAGGGGGAGATCAAGGGAGATTGTACGATAATCGGCGCATCAGTCTATTATGTAACTGCATCAATTCTACCGCCGAGATCAACTCCAGCTCCAAATCCACTCCCGGAGTAACTCTAACAGTAACATAATCACAGTACAAATGATCTCGGGACCCGATTTTCAGCATCAATGCCTTCACGGGATTTTGGTATTTTATTTTATTTCAAGTACATATTGACTGACCGGAGAAAACGACATTACGACGACTTCGGGATTGCGCCAGGACTGGTGAAAACGGTTGGAAGGGGGAAAAAAGACTCCGACTCCGATTTCAGCATGCACCAGCGGGGAATCGAACCCCGCTCTTCCCTGATTTAGACTGTAACCATCTACACAGCTGGTAGGTAACAGGGACGTGCACCTTAATCTTGCACCACCGGTGCACATGCCCATCCTTCCTGATGCCCTTTTATATAGCTCTAAATCATACTGTGGACCATTGTGTGATTCACACTGTGACATTGTGTAATTCACATGATGGTCAATCATGTCATTTTACAGTCGGTTGATTATCTTCTTCAAGTTCTCGACACGTTCCCAATGATCTATCATACAA